GTGGGAATTTGGGGTCCCCCTCGGCCCCTCCGTGGGGAGGGGTGGGGGGACAAGAGGTTGTCCTGAAGGGTGAGCTCTGAGGGGCCTCTTGCAGGCTGGGTGAGGGGGCCTTCTCGCCGAGCCCCTGCCCGCCACTGCAGAAGGGTGCGATGTCTACCGCAGGGTGTCCTTGCATGCAGCCCGGGTCAGGTGTGAGCCCGGGAGCACTTGACCCTGCAATCCGCGGAGCCAGGCAACAGCTGGGGGACCCGCCCACCTGGCCGTGTGGTCAGGCTGAGAGTCGGCGGTGGGCGCCACCTGGAGGCCAGTCCTGCAGCCACAGCTCAACCAGCCCCTGGCCAGACAGGCCAGCCCCGAGGCCTGAGGGGCAAGGATGGTGGCTGGAGCAGGGGCCAGCCCCGTCTCTCCTGAGACTAGTCTTGGTGGCTGTGCCTCCTTCCCGGAGCCTTTTCTTTCTCTGGTCTCTAGCGCTGAGCCAAGCTCAGTGTAGAGCCAGAGCCACCGTGTTCCCCACTCCTGCCACCTCCCCAGGTCCATCCCAGGTGGACATCAGCAGCCTGGAGGCCTCGGGACAGCCAACACTCCCTCCACCCTGGACTGCCAAGCCCCAAGGCCCCCATACACCCCTCCCATTGTCTTCTCTCACCTCCCAGGCCCCAGGGGCTGACCAGCTGGGCCAGGTAGCCCATGGACCCTGGCCCTGGGTCTTGGATGGGTGCGGCTCTGATGGAGACAAGCCTCCAGGGAGGCCTGGGTGGTCGAGCATGGAGGCCCTGGGAGACCACAGGTGGGCTGCCTGCCCCCCACCCCTCGCTCTGGCCCCTGCTAGACTGCAGCTCCCAGTAGTCCCCTCAGCAGTGGGGGGGTCAGGGGCCTTGCCTGCTGGAGGGTCACTGTGGGCCAACCCTGGGCTCCTGACAAACGTGGGGTCTGAGGAGGAGGGGCCCTCATCCTGGGGAGGCTCCTGACTGAGCGGGAAGCCCGGCCTCCGGTCCGCTTCCACACCAGGCCTGAGAAGGGCCCTCCTTGACCTCTGACCCCTTGCCTCTCAGGGCCTCCCGCTCTGCTTTGTCCAGGCTCTGCGTCCCCCTCCCTGGGCCCTCCACCAGGAACAACTGGGGACCAGCATTGGGCACCAGCTGTCCAGGGCCACGCAGTCCGATCAGGGGACAGACGGGCCCTGGTGAGGCCACCGGCGATCGCATCACCACCGAACGCACTGCAGGCCTGCAGCTTGGGACAGGCTCACCCTAACCCTAACCCTCCTTTCTGTTCCTCCTCCTGGTTTTTTCCTCCCCCAAACTCCCTTGCTGCTACTCTCCTGGCTCCTGTGGGGGAGGGGAGGGGGGCAGAGAGAGCCTGGCATCTCTGACCCGAGGAGCAGCAGAGCCCCAGCACCTGCCCCTGCGGGGCTGCAGCAGGTGGAAGGTGGGCGGGCGGGAGGAAGAGGGCACGGACAAGTCCGTCCTGAGGCACACGGGGCGGGGTGGCCCTGATAGCCAGGGCTCTGAAGCCAGGCTCCCAGGACACTAGGGACTAAATGTGAGGAAGCTAGGAAACTAGAGGGCAGGGTCTGGGGACTGTGCCTGGGAGGGCCACCTGCTAGGCCCATCCCTGCTTCTGTTTCCCCCAGGCCCTTGCACTGGGCTGTTTCTTTCCTCCTGGAGAGTGGATGGACAGAATGCACTCGGCCTCAGGCTTGACCACATCCTTTATTCCCCGACTCAGCCCCTTCCCAGCTTTGGGCCAAGCGTGCAGCCTGCCCTCCCGGCGGGCACAGCAGTGACCAGTGCCGACTCAGGGCAGCCCGTCCAGGGGCGCGCTGTTCAGACAGTTGTAGAGATAGATGTACTGCTGCTGGGGGCAGACACCGCGAGGACACCGCGAGGACACAGTGAGGGCACAGCAGGACAGTCTCCCTGTGCCTTCACCTGAGAGCAGTGGTCGCCAATGCCACCTGGTGGCTGCTCCTATGGCGCTGCCCAGAGGCCCCCTGCAGCTGGAGCAGGACCTTCCCTACCCTTCAACCCTTCCCAAGGCTGAGCCCCTGATCGCCTCTCATCAGAATTGGGATCATGAGGCCACAGGCCTCTGACTGCTGCAAGGCCACGGTGAAGACGTCCACGGTGCACTCAGCCCCTGCCTGCTGCAGCAGCTGGTCCATGGCCAGGAAGGTGCCCAGCTGGGCCGCACCCTTGCTGCAATTGGTTTTGAGTTGGAGGGGGGACCTTAGGGGGCAAGGAGGAGGGCCAGGTACCCAGGGAGATGGGAGAACCCAGCCTGGGCCTGGGGACCAGGGAGAGACGCTAGGCACGGCCAACCAACCCCAGGCCCCAGTAGGATGGGGGCAGATTCCTGAATGATGTCAGGCTGAGTGAGGAGGGGGGCTGTGTCCTTCTAAGCTGGGCTCAGTGGGATGTGAGGCCCTCGGGGAGGCAGTGAGGGGTTCTGCCCACTCCCCCAGTCCCCGTCCAGCAGCACCTGGAGTGGCTGAGCAGCGTGCCTGGCTTCTCCGCTTCCCGGGAGAAGCACTGGCCCACGGCGGCCAGGAAGGGCAGCAGCGTGGCAGCTGGGAGTTCCTGCCCTGGCTCCCCACGGGGAAGCTGCAGCCGCTGCACCGGCCTCTCCTTCCTGCTCCCACGCTGGGGGCAAAGACCTTGGTGCTGGTGCCAGAAACCGGCTCAGGCCTGCCCTGCGGCCCCACCACCCCAAGCCCCGCGGCCTGACGCTCACGTGTGTGACGCTGAGGAGGGTGCAGGGCCAGCCTGCCACATTGCTCTCGGCCACCCAGTTCACGGTCACTGCACGCCCCGCGGTCACCCCTACCCACGATAGGGTGCCTCTCCATGGGCCAGAACTCCTGTGGCCGGGACCAGACACGGCTGCTCAGCCAGGTAACCCCTCCCCGCCCAGTCACACCCCACCTCAACTCCTGAGACATCCCACCCCCTGTCCCCTATCCCCCTCACCTTCTCCTGGACGTCCGGCGGGCACAGGGAGACCAGCACGCGGGCCCCGTGCTCCCACACCAGCTCCCACAGCTCCTCAGGCCCTCTCGGGCCAGTCAGCACCATGGGGTCGTGGCCAGAAGGCCCGCCCTGCAGAGCGCAGCTGGTCGGCCCCCCGGACTGAGGTTGTCCTCTGCCCATCTCAGCCCCAGGACCCCCAGATGACCCACCCAGGGAGCACAAACAGCCAGAGGGCACTGTCTTATGGGGAAGAGCCAGGCTTCGGGCATCTCGCCAGGGGGGCCCTCCTCCGCCGGGGGAACAGAATGGTCGTCTGAGGGACGAGGTGGGGCGTGAGGCTGCCACTGGTTTCCACCGGCCCAGGTCCCACCCACCTGCACGTCCCCTGAGTGCTCCTGCTCACAGCCAGGAGGGGTCGTAGCAGAGCCGACCTGGTCCTTGAGGGCCTGGAGCAGGAGCTGGGAGGGCAGAGCTGGTGAGGCTGGCAGGCCGCAGGGGTGCTGGCGGGAGGGCATGCCCCGCGATCACCCCCACTGGCCGGCAGCGCACCTTGTACTCCCCAGTGAAGCCAGCGTTGGTGTCAGCCGCCCTGAGAGTGCACGCCTGCACGAAGTTCCCCACGGGGATGGGCTGGGGCCTGGGGGCCTCGCGGGCAGCACGGGTGCCACCTGAGGCTCCCCAGCTTCCTGTCTTCGCGGCCCTGCTGTGGACAGGAGTCGGCGGCCTGTTGGTGAGAGGGGTGGGCCCCAGGCCTCTGGCCCCGCCCAACAAGGGCTCCTGGCGCGGCTCGTACCCAGAGGAGCTGGAGGGCCCTTCCAGGACCTTGCTCAGGAGGCAGCTGTGCAGGAAGACGTACTGGCTCTGGAGGAGGTGGGGCGAGGCC